CTTACCTGGTGTTGAACAGTTCCCTATGGAGCAGGGTTCTCTCCAATCACAGACAACAGGGTGGCAGTTTGTCCCAGACATCAGAACACAATCCCTGCCCCCCCCCCCCCACCGCCTTGATCCAAGGCCTCCTGATGCAGTGTCCCCTATCCTGACGCAGCCCCACACGCTTCTCTCTCCTCGACTCCTTCCCAGTTCCACTTGACCCTCTGCTGTCCCTAGCCCACATTTTCTGTCATCTGTTGTGCTATATGTTGCCAAGCTGGGCCTTAACCCTGAGCACCTGAATCTGAGCCCCGTGTTTCCCAGAGAAGCCAGGGCTCCCTGCAATCAGGAGTGATTTCTCCTCTGCCTCCCTAATTCCCCCAGTGAGAACCGGGCATCCTCAGAGCAGAGGGGGCCTTGGTCATGCTACCATCCTGAGAGGCCTAGCCATGGCCATGGAGAGGAGGGACTACAAAGCCCTGAGTCTCTCCAGAAGCCCCTATGCCCTCCCGTCTGGGAAGGCCCAGCCATGTGTTAACAGCACACTCTTAACAGCACAGTTCCTCTTCCTAAGAGGCAGCCGAGGAGAGCAGCTGGGCTTTATAGTCTGCAGGTGTGGGGGATTAGCAGTGGGCTTTGCCAGGAAGAAGGGATTTGGGATGGGCCCTCATTAGAGCCTCACATTTCCACCCTAACTTCTTTGGAATTTGTTCTTTATGTTTAAAATGCAAACTGATTTCTCAGCATATTCAAACTGGGCCAGGTTGCTGGCAACCGTCAAAGGGTGGAAACCACTGAATTGTTCCAAAGTATCTCCCTTCGTAGCAAGGGGAGAAAATGGTAGGCAGGGGACAGGAGGATAGTGTGGGACATTTCCTCAATTGCTCCAAGGCCTCTTTTGAGGAAGGCAGGGGCCACACTGGAAAAGCACTGCTTGGATTCTGGAGTCAAGGCCAGCCTCACATGCCGGCGAGAAGAGTGGCTTTATATAAGTGTTGTTATAATGTCTTCTCCCCACAACCCCCAGTCACAAACCCACCTCCTTCCACTTTCCCCAAGCTGACCCTGTCCTTAGCATCACAGACATCAGCAGGCTGAGGTGGCGGAGGGAATGGGGCCCTTTCTCCCATTTCCATACCTCTTTGAACCCCAGGCTTCAGTAGGTCCAGTGTGAGTCCCCTGCTCGAGTCTGAAGCCCTGGATGCACAGAAAAGGAAGCTGAGGACAAGGAGACTCAGCTGGTGGCTGCGTCCAGACAGCCACTGGGCTGTGACCTCTCAGTCTGCGCCCTGACTCAGATCCACTTGTCCTGTCTTGGTTTCTCAGGTTAACAAGATGCTCTGGGCAAGAATCGGGGCCTTGAGGGAATGGGGCGGGCACCTAGAGGTGCAAGGGGGCAATGAGGGCAGTTCCCATCTGTGACACAAAGGACTTCATGGGGAAGGGGGCACGGGGCAGGGCAGTGATGAGAGAGCAGTGTGTGCGTGTGTGTGGTCTTGTGAGTATGTCTCTCTGCATGTATGTGTTAGTGGGAATGCACGCTGTGTGTGTTGTGTTTTGCTTCTCTCTCCCTGGCGGCGGGAAGTCTGGTAGTCTGAGGACATTGGATTCTCTCTTTTTTTTTTTAATGTTTTATTTATTTCTAGGGGAGAGAGAGAGACAGCGTGAGCAGGGGAGGGTCAGAGAGAGAGGGAGTCACAGACTGAAACAGGCTCCAGGCTCTGAGCTGGCAGTCAGCACAGACCCCGACGCGGGGCTTGAACCCACGAACCGCGAGATCATGACCCAAGCGAAAGTCGGACGCTTAACCGACTAAGCCACCCAGGCGCCCCCGAGGACGTTGGATTCTGAGGGAGAGGGAGCTGGATCAGGCAGAACCCTTATTTGCCTGGCCTTTCTTAGCCTACCTTCCTTGAGGATCTTTGGGACTCTCTGTGTGTGTAGGGTTTTGGAGTGGCTTGAAAGTTTGACGGGTGGCTGGTTTAAACTGCTCCTACCCAGGGTGCCTGGGAGGCTTAGTCATTTGAGTGTCTGACTTTGGCTCTGGTCATGATCTCACAGTTCATGGGTTTGAGCCCCGCATCAGACTCTCTATTGTCAGCGCAGTGCCCTCTTTGGATCCTCTGTCTCTCTCTCTGCCTCTCCCCTGCTGTGCTCTCTCTCTGTCTCAAAAATTTAAACATTTAAACAAAAACATTTAAACATTAAAAAAAAAAAAACAAACAGGTCCTCCCCGAGTGAGCTTGTAAGGGAGCAGTTTCCCTGCACTCCTGGAGTCAAGTGTCGGTGCCCAGCAGCCAGAAGTGAAAGGGGTGAACAGGGGAGAGGCTGAGATAGATGAGGGAGAGTTCTAGGGGAGCATGCATGTGAGCATGGAGGCCAGATTGGAACAGGAGAGGGGAGGCTTGCTGAAAACAGGAACAGCCTCTGTGGAGGCTCATTTTCCCTGAGAGGGCCTTAGGTTTCACTGCCAGGAGCAGAGGCATCAAGACTGGACTTCTCTGCTGAAAGGAAGTAGGAGACGAGTGTTACAAAAGTGACCTACATTCATACCGCACACAATTCACAATTTACAGAGAACTTTTCTCATACGTGATCTTCTCAACAACCTTAGGAAGAGGCATCCTTCATCTTTTTTTTTTTTTTTTAACTTTAATGGTAAGAAAAGGGAAATTGGCAGATTAGATGGGGCTTCTGTAAAATTTATAGATTTTTAGGCAGTGCGTCCTGGAAAAAGAATTCGAGATGAGAGACAATTATGCAACAGGCTGGTGGGAAATATAGATGATAGCATCCCAACAACCTGGAACACTGAGTCTGAAGGTGTCTGAAACTTCGTTTCTAGTATGGAAGCAAGAGCAATGTAAAGAATTTTAGGACAAAAATCTACTCCTCCATCATGATGTGTTGGATGTAAATAGTCCTGTAGTATATATATCATGATGATAAAAAGAAAAAGATACTTCAGGGGCGCCTGAGTAGCTCAGTTGGTTGAGCGTCCAACTTCAGCTCAAGTCATGATTTCACAGTGTGTGTGAATTCGAGCCCCGCGTTGGGCTCTGTGCTGACAGCTCCGAGCCTGGAGCCTGCTTCCGATTCTGTCCCCCTCTTTTTCTGCCCCTCCTTGCTTGTGCTCACTCCTTTCTCTCTCTCTCTCTCTCTCAAAAAAAAAAAATTCTTTAGAAAAATCATGGTGGAAAAAGGCCTTCACTGGCATATGATCTGACTCAAGTTAAGTGGCCACTGCCCAGTTGCGGAACAGGGGTGATTTTTATAGTTCTCATTTTTCTTAAAATTTTCTGGGGAGAAAATGCAACCTTCCCAGGTGGGAAGTGGTGTCTCTCACCTGAGCCAAGGGGAGGAAGCATTGGGAATCCTAACGTGAAGAGGAAAGGTTGGTAGTCTCTCAGGCCTTGATGAGGTGGTCTACACCTGCTTCCTGGCTTTCCCTTCCCAATGGGCCCCTCTCCCTGCCTGCTCTCCTCCCTCTCATTGGCCTTAGCCATGGTCTATATTTTCTCTTGGTCCACTGCACGTGCCTACCCTTCTCAGTCTGACCCTTCTCTCCTCCTCACCCCGGCTCTCCTTCCAAATCCCCTGTGGCTGAGAACTTGTCCTGTGTGTGTTTCACACACGTATTTTCTCTTCGTTGGATGGCAAGAGCCCCAAGGGCAGCTGCTGCCCCTTCCCTGACTTTGGCATCTCCTCACCTCCTCCTTAGTCTTTCTCTTCCTGGCTCTTCCCTAAGGTCCTCACTGGGGCTCTGCACCCATCTTGTAATGTCCTGATGGCTGCCAGAGTGGCCGTGGGCATGCAGGACTGGTAGGGAAATGCTGACCTGTCACTCCCCAGGTGGGAGTATAAGTCTTTTGGGGATTAGGGGCTGTGTCCAGCCCTGCAGGATGGCCTCTCTCCTTTTTTTTTTTTACAAATAGTTTATTGTCAAATTAGTTTCCACATAACACTCAGTGCTCATCCCCAAAGTGCCCTCCTCCATGCCCATCCCCCCCTCCCCCCCACATCCATCAGTCCTCAGTTTTTGTCAGCATTCAAGAGTCTCTCAGGGTTTGCCTCTCTCCCTTTCCCCCACCATTTCCGCCCTTCTTCTCTCCCTTGTTCCTCCGTCAAGTTCCTCCTAATCCTCCTATACGTGCAAACATATGATATTTGTCCTTCTCTGCCTGACTTATTTCGCTCAGCATAACACCCTCAAGGTCCATCCATGTTGCTACACATGGCCAGATTTCATTCTTTCTCACTGCCATGTAGTATTCCATGGTGTAGATAAACCACATCTTCTTGATCCGTTCATCTGTTGATGGACACTTAGGCTCTTTCCATGTTTCAGCTATTGTGGAGAGTGCTGCTATGAACATTGGGGTCCATGTGCTCCTATGCCTCAGCATTTCTGTATCCCTTGGGTAAATTCCTAGCAGTGTTATTGCTGGGTCATAGGGGAGTTCTATTGTCAGTTTCCTGAGGAAGCTCCACACTGTTTTCCAGAGGGGCTGTACCAGTTTACATTCCCACCAACAGTGTAGGAGGGTGAGGATGGCCTCTCTCCTAACTTAAGCTTATTTCAGGTGAGTAACCCTGGGAAAACAAAGCAATTTGGAAATTTGGGGTGATTACCAAGGTGTGTTATGAATTTTGGACTCAACCTCTTGCTGCCAGGCAAACCAAAGCTGATAATACCTCAATTAGTTGGCTGGCACCATAAGCTGGCCAAGCACCCTGGCCCCTTATAAGGGCCATCTCCGGCCCAGAACTTCAGAAGGTGTCTGAGTTTCCTCTAGCCTTCCCATCCATGCTTCCTTTGGAATACCTCGCTGTCCACCATGAGCTGCCAGGCCAGCCACAGCCAACAGTCTTGCAGATCTTCCAGCGGGGGCCACCACCAGGGCTTCAGTGGCCGCTCAGCTGTGGTGTCAGGCCAGAGCTGGGTCAGCTCCACCAGATCCTCCTCAACATCCCACTCAGGCTGGGGCAGTGGTGGGTCTGCAGCCTGTGCCATGATGGGAGGAGATTTCGGCAGCAGGAGCCTCTACAATCTTGGTGGGAACAAGAAGATCTCCATCAGTGTGGCTGGAGGCAGCTCCCAGGCTGGAGGGTTTGGGGGTGCCAGTGGGGGACGTTTAGGTGGCAGTGGTTTTGGAGGTGGTGGAAGAGGGATGGGAGGGGGCTTTGGTGGAAGGGCTGGGGGTTTTGGAGGAGCTGGGAATTTTGGCGGAGGAGCTGGAGGCTTTGGAGGAGGTGCTGGAGGGTTTGGTGGAGGAGCCGGTGGCTTTGGTGGCCCTGGTGGCTTTGGTGGGCCTGGTGGTCCAGGTGGCTTCCCTGGGGGAATCCAGGAAGTGACTGTGAACCAAAGCCTCCTGCAGCCCCTCAATGTGGAGATTGACCCCCAGATTGGGCAAGTAAAGGCCCAGGAGAAGGAGCAGATCAAGACTCTGAACAACAAGTTTGCCTCCTTCATTGACAAGGTGAGCCCATATTGGGACAGCTGGACAGTAAGAGAAAACCTGGCCTAACTGGTTTGGTCTCTTTTTCCTCTTCTTATTATGGATCTGAGGAAGGACTTGCGGGTTCAACCTGGGCCTCATGGCATGGCAGCAGGTGGTGGGCCTGCTTAATGTAGAAGCAGATGATGGGAATATCTCATCCCCTGTTGGATGGAGTTACTGCATCGTCCTCATGATCCATCACTGTGGTTCATCAGAGGCACTGCTGGGATTGTTGCTGCCATCATGGATGTCCCCTCACTGTTGCCCTCTGAAACCCCAGCACAGAACTCCTCTGTGCCAGGAGAATTGTGAGCTGCTTCCTTGTGAAAGAGAGGGCAACTCTGCCTAACCTGGCTTTGTCTGAGAGAAAAGTCCATCTGCCATCAGCCTAAGGAGAGAGATGCAGAGAGGTTTTGGGAGGTGGGATGGAGTAGGGGAGAGGGGTACCTTCTTGGTGGTTCTCACAGGAAGACTTCAGCGTGGGGAGATGGGGCTGTTGAGGCCATTTGACGTTTGAATACATGTGTACATGTGCAAGTGAGGCTGAGATGTTTCCTAGGGATTTCTGTGCTCTGGATATTCCGTGTAAGAACACTATGATAATTGTGGTGGTGACCAGATGGTATGCACATTTGGGCAGCTGCTGACTGAGGGTTTCAGCCATACTGTTGAGTATGATGTGGTGAAATCTCTTTGTGATCTTGGGACAATATTAGGCCTTAAAGAGAAGGTTTGTAGGGACTCTTTGGGGTCCCATTGCCCTACATAAGTGTCCTGGGCAAAGCTGAAGGAGGAAAAGTGTCTTAATATTGGAATACCCAAACTCTGTAGAGGTGAAACTCTTCAAAGTCCAGTGACCTGCTAGTTCCCAGCAGACACCCGGTTGTCCAGGTACATTATTCATGGAAAGGTAGAAAGGGATGTGGCAATGCTGTTCCTCTACAGAACAGAAGATGGGCTTCACCACCCAAGGGATTCTCAGCAGAAGCTCCCATCATTCTTCAGTGAGGATTCTAAGGTCTTGAGGGTCTTGAGTGTCCAGCATAAGGCCTGGCACGAGCTCGGTGCTCTGCAAATGTTGAATGGCCAATTGATTGATATTTATTCTACATGTTTGTACAGTTGGCCTTGAACCTTTAACTAGTGGTTCAGTTTAAATGCAGCTGAGCCCTGCATTTAACCAGGCTTGTCAGATGGGGCTGACTCTAGGTGTGTCTGGACCGTGTTCCTGGGACAAGGGCTGCCTGAAAGCCAGTCCCCTAGGGCTTTTGCCATTTCCCACACTAGTGCAGTGTACCTGGTGGTCCAGGAGCAAACCTCTTCCTGGGGACTCTATCTACTCTTGGATGTTGGAATCTCCTGCTACTTGTTGAATACTAAATGACTGAGGAATGAATGATTGAGGAATGAATGAATGATATAGCAGGAAGATCATCAAGCCTAAGTATCAGGAAATGTCAGTTGTGTTTTGTCATTGACTTGCCGTGTGCTCTTGGTCATCTCTGGGCTTCGGCTTCCTTACCTGCGCAGTAGGTCTCTGCCTGCCCTGCATTACCTCAGTGCTGCTGTCCACACGGGGTTAGCACTAAACTACTGCAGCATTACAAAATGCAGCCCTGCAAGAGAGAGGAGGAGACCCCTGGGACTTTGGGGACATCATGAGCTGCCATGATTGGAGCTGGCCCCAGACAGCTCCCTGGTGCTCTTCTCACTGGCTGCAGGTGCGGTTCCTGGAGCAACAGAACAAGGTCCTGGAGACCAAGTGGAGCCTCCTGCAGGAGCAGAACTCCAGTTCTAATACCAGCAACAACAACCTTGAGCCTTTTTTTGAGAACTACATCAGCAGCCTCAAGGCCTTCTTGGATGGGCTGCACACGGAGAAGGACAAGCTGCAGGGTGAGCTGAGGAGCATGGAGGAGATGGTGGAAGACTTCAAGAAGAGGTGAGTGTTGCCCCATCCCTGGGTGAGGCGGGTGGGCTGGAGGATGGGAGGGACGGAGGGGCAGGAGGCCTGGGCTCTGGCTTCACTCTATTCCAGCTGGCTGCAAGCTTGTAGAATTTACCCCATCCTCCCTGACTCTCAATAGCCCAGTCTTTAAAGGAGTGGCTTATGGCTTGCTTGAGGTGGAGGTCCTTTTGAGAATTTATTGAAAGGGTATATACATATAATTCTGGGGAGTTCCAAGATACTCTGAAGCTAACAGACTCAGCTAACATCCTCTGTCCTCCCTTGGGCTAGACTGTCATTAACTTCTCTTCTGAATAGGAATTTTATTTCCCCTGTCAATAACTTCTCAGTGAGTAGCAACTTGCTGTGCCTTGGTCAAGCCCCATTCTGCCACTCATGAGCTCTGTGATCTTGGACAAGTGCCTTAGCTTCTCTGTGCTTCAGTATCCTCACTATAAAATGGAAAGACTGTGTGTATTTACCCCGTTGGTTGTAATGAGCATTCAATGAGTTAATACAAGCATAATTCATGAAGCAGAACCTGGCACATTCTTAGCAACCCATTCTTGGGTTTCATTAATATGTTAAGTGTCTACTGGGAGTCATGGGGCTACTATACTCGCTATACACATGAGTTGCCACCACTCACCTCCCTCCCAAAAGCACCTGGAAGCTCAGCCATCTCCCTTTGGTCTTAGAAATGGATTTAAAAAATCCAAAATTTTCCAGGAAGCCTTTTGGGATGAATTAAAATAGAAATCCACTAGGAAGGGGCTTCTACTCCAGGGTCCAGTAATGACCATCACCATTATTAAGTGGTTCCTGGCACAAAGTAGAGCATCTGTTGAATGAACTCTCACTTGAATTCAGAAGGGCTGTGCATTGCAACGACACATGTCTTGAGTGAAACTGGCAGAAGCCCTGAGTCCATGTTACTTATAAAAAGTGCTCTGGGGCCATGAGGATGTCCTAGAGGAGGCGGACCAGAAAGGGACCCTTATCTCACAGGTATGAAGAGGAGATCAACAAGCGCACAGCTGCAGAGAATGACTTCGTGGTCTTGAAGAAGGTGAAGGATCCCTCCCCACCCCCACCTCCCCCTCCAAAGCCCCACCAAGCAGAATGGTTCAAAGGTTAAGGAGAAGCATGAGTTTAGTTTTGCTAAGCTGAGGGTCTCCTTTAGGCTATATGTGTGAGGGCTGGGGCCAGGGAGGGGGCCCACTGAGCAGGGCAGGCAGGGGTAGGGCTTGAAGGATCTTTGGGGCAGGCTATAAAGGGCCTGCCAGCCTTTGGCGATGCCCATCCCTGATGGCCATGTGGGGCTTATGAATCTGATTAGGCCTTGAATTTTGATTAGAAAATGGACAAAGGGAGGAAATAGGGTTTTGTGTTTTCAGGAGTACATTCCCAGGAGCCATTTAAAGAGAAACTTTGAGTGTTACACACTCACAAACCCTCCTCCCCCTGGGCCCAATGTGGTGGTCCCAGCCCTGATCTCCTTCCCCCCTCTCAGCCCCTTAGCCTCTTTTGCTCCTCTCTGTTGGGTATGCACCAGCCTAGCCTGCCAGACAGTGGTTTAGTCCTGTTAAGACATGCCTGAATGGTCCTCATTTCTCCTGAGGGGAGGGGCTTTGGTGGCCCCTTCCTCATGGCCCAGGACAGGGCCAGCCCACGGGCTGGAGGGAGCAGTGTTTGAACTGTCTCCAGGATGTCGATGCTACCTACATGACCAAAGTGGAACTGGAGGCCAAGGTGGAGAATGTGACGGATGAGATCAACTTCCTGAAGGCCCTCTATGATGCTGTAAGTGGGCTTTTCACCTTTAAGCCTCTGCCCCACTTGCCTTCCACCTCCTGGAGAGGAAGGCCCTCAGAGCTCACCAGTAGGCACCTGAGTCACATCCATGCTTCTGACAAAAGTGACACCTTCCCACCTGGCCCTCAGTCCGTCCCCACCCCTCCAGAGCTGACTCCTCATCTTCTGGGGGGCCTTGGTATGGATCTGCTCAGGAATGGGCCTGTCTGCCTGGTTCTGCAGGAGATGTCCCAGATGCAGGCAGATACCAGCGACACGTCAGTGGTCCTGTCCATGGACAACAACCGCTGCCTGGACCTGGACAGCATCATCGCCGAGGTCCATGCGCAGTATGAGGCGATCGCCCAGAGGAGCAAGGCTGAGGCTGAGGCGCTGTACCAGACCAAGGTGGGTGACACCATCGTGTAACTCATGGGAATCTTGCACCCCCATTAAGCTACCTGAGCAGGCCATCCAGGAGGGCAGACCTTGCCTCCGAGTCATTCTTTTCTCTATCTCCAGTATGGCAGTTCCCTCACTGCCTTCCTGGTCTGGTCTCATCCACATGCATCTCCCTTCCTAATAGGAGAGCTCTGATTTTGCTCTAACTTCATTCTTCTCATCAGGAGGGGAAGGCATGATTTTCTCCTAGGAGATATTTGATAGTGTCTGTAGAGACTTCTGGTCATCACATCTGGGTCTAGTGGGTAGAGGTCAGGGATGCTGCTGAACATTCTATAATGCATGACCCTGCCTCCCAACAAAAAATTATTCTTCCTAAAATGTCAGTATGCCCAGGCCAAGAAATTCTTAATCCCTCTGATTACATTCCCTTTATTGCTGGGAACACTTCCATCTCCCTCCACTAATCTGGACCTTGTCATTGTGTGCTCTGATTCAATCACACTGAGGGATTGAAGCCAGTGTCTGGAAAGAAGTGGGCGGAGGGAGAGGTAAGTGGAGCAAAGGGATTACAGGCACAAGGAGTTCTGTCCCCCTCCTTCCATTCCCAAATCTGAATGGGGGATCAGCTGGCCTGTTTACTGCTGATTCTTCTATCTTCTATCCATGGAGGGACAGCCTGCTGGTTAAGAAGATGGTTCTAGCATCTGCAATGTTTGCATTCAAATTCCAGCACTGTCACTGGATGGCTGGATGAGTCATGGGACTTAAGCAGTCTGTGCTCAGTTTTCCCGCTCATAAAATGGAGGTAACCATGCCTTTCTCATCAAGTCATTGTGAAGTAAAATGAGATCAAGCACAGGGCCTGGTGCAAAATGTCTGCTCCACAAACAGCAGCTGTTGTGCTAGAAGACAGGTGCCCTGATGCAGGGGCGCGAGCTCCTGGTTCCTCCAACTGGGTGACTTCGCACTAGTCATATGTCCGTGTGTGTTTTGGTTTCCTTGTGTGTGACATGAAGGGTTGGGTCAGGGGAACTGTGAGGCACTTGCTGGCTTTCTGAAAGGGTGACTCTTTCCTGGACACAGTTGGGGGAGCTGCAGACCACGGCCGGCAGGCATGGGGATGACCTGAAGAGCACCAAGAGTGAGATCTCCGAGCTCAACAGAATGACCCAGAAGCTGCAGGCTGAGATTGAGAGCGTCAAGAAGCAGGTGGGAAGAGGAGAAAGAGCACGTGTCCAAGACTACGGCCTTATGCTTGCCCCATATATCTCAGGGCTCAGTCCTTACCACAGTGAAATCATGTCCTAGATGCATACATGCTAAGATTGACTAGGTGCAGCTCTGGGCTGGAGCTGAGCAAAGCTTGTCATGTGGACCCAGGTCCTGTCTCCTTGGAGTCTGGCTGCTGATGTGGGTCAGAAATACTGAATACAGGCAAGGTTAGGGAAGTCGGGGAAAGAAGTGGATTGGGTGAAGAATGAATTGGGAGAGTAGCTCAGGAAGCCTACATCTAGATGGGCTAGGTCAGAGAGAAAGTGTCTGATAATTCAGGAAGACTTCTTGGAGGAGGGAAGTCTTTAGAAGATGCTCAGTCTCTTACCATGAAAAGCAAGAAAAGCAGGGCGCCTGGGTGGCTCAGTCGGTTAAGCGTCTGACTTCAGCTCAGGTCATGATCTCACTGCTCGTGGGTTTGAGCCCCACGTTGGGCTCTGTGCTGACAGCTCAGAGCCTGGAGCCTGCTTCAGATTCTGTGTCTCCCTCTCTCTGCCCCTCCCCTAGTTGCACTCTCTCTCTCTCAAAAATGAATACATGTTAAAAAAAAAAAAAAGGTCAAGAAAGGTAGAGTCTGACTCCTCCTAAGCTGGGCTAGGTCCTTGAGGCCAGGTGTCACTAACTCCACTCCTTGATGTGCCAGGACCTAGACGGAGGCCCAGGCTTTAACCTCTGTGGGCAGTAGTTTCCTCATTTGCCCAGCATGCGGTGATCCACATGCAGGCACCAAGCATACAGTGCAGGCCCTCAGTGTATGTCACTTGAATCTAAATCAGACTGCTGGCCCCCTCCACCTAGAACGCCAACCTGCAGACAGCCATCGCTGATGCAGAGCAGCGTGGGGAGCTGGCCCTCAAGGATGCCAATGCCAAGCTCCAAGACCTCAAGGCTGCCTTGCAGCAGGCCAAGAAGGACCTGGCCCGTCTGCTCCGGGAGTACCAGGAGCTGATGAACGTCAAGCTGGCCTTGGACATTGAGATCGCCACCTACCGGACCCTCTTGGAGGGTGAAGAGTGCAGGTTAGTGGGAATCGCTCTGGTTCCCCAACAGGCCATGACACCCAGTGGCTTTCCTCCTCCTTTACAGGGCTGCAAAATGCTGCCAGACCTCCCGAGAGCTGTGTTTCCTGTACAATAGTGACACCACTAGCACCTTATCTTGGGTAGACCTCCCCACCCTTCTTGTCCCATGTCTTTGCTGTAAAATGCATGTCTGCAAAGAGGAGTCATAGGCATAAATATTATTTCTAGGCCATTTCTTTATTATTGCCTTAATGTAGGGTTCTGAAGAGTTGTTTCCTATAGCCTGGCCCTTGGATACAGGACCCTGGTCCATATGGATTCAAATAATATTTACTGAATAAAGAGAGGATGGGTAGGCCAGGTGATGTCCCTCCACCGTTACTCTGGGGGCTGTTAGTAGAAAGGGCAATAATTGAAGTACAACCTTACCCATCCTTAGTCCATCCTATTTCTCATTGCCAACGTCAATTGCTGTTGACCTATGCAAGGTGCATCTAGCAAAGGGAGGAGCTGCACGAGTCACTAACACTGGTGTCTGCTTTTCCCACAGGATGTCTGGAGAGTGCCAGAGTTCCGTTAGCATCGGTGAGTACCAGTGCTTTCTCTGGGAAGGGGTTGGACGATTGGGATTAATCGTGGGCCAGCGCTGCTGTGAGATCACCCCACCTGCAGGCTGGGAAGAGCTCTTGGGTGGTGGCCAGGGTAACCCAGCGGCTCTGAGTCCCTCCTTCCTCTCTTGACTGGCTGCCCGCCCTCACGGTCCTGTGCGGAGTCTCAGTGGGCGGGACAGCGGGGAAGACCGGAGGGCCGAGGGGGTGGCCCAGGGACTGTCGGGACGCCCCACAAGGTCCCTGACCCCAAATGCTCTTTGCAGAGATGGTGCACAACAGCGGAGGCGGCAGCGGCAGCGCCCTGGGAGGCCGCGCCCAGGGAGGGGGCGTCCTGGAAGGCGGAGCTGGGGCCCGCGGAGGCCTGGGCTCTGGAGGGGGCTCTGTGGTGCGCGGGGGCTTGTCTAGTTCCCGGGGCTCGTGTCCCCCCCTCTCGCAAAGCTCCTCCCAAAGCCAGCGGTCCCACCACAAATTCTGAAGGGGGCTCCCCAGGTGTCCCAGCCCCCAACCCCCCACCCGCGCATCTGCCTGCACACCCCAGTTCTGCGTGCTGTTGCAGACCCCCGTGGGACCCTTTACCGACGCATCTTCTGACTTGTGACCTGGAGCCCCACCTTCCCAGACGACTAGCATGTTAGCCCAAAATTTGCTGCCATGGATGATTGGGTGGAAAAATCATCTATGCCCCAAAGCCAGGCTGAGGGGCACGGCCCAGGAGCCAGGATTTTTCATGGCCTCTGCCTCTCAGGTGCCCCCTTTCCAGCCCACATCCCACTGGCTTACGGGAAAGCCCCAGGCTGCCGCCACCACACACCTATCCGTGCTTTGATTTCCCGTGAGTGGTACTTGTCCCTTTTAAATGGCCCCGAGTAAAAAGCTCTCTGTCCTGTATCTTCAATAAACTGCATTGTGGTTCGCACACGGTGGTTGAATTTTCATTCTGGATTCCATTGTCCCTTGTTCTTTTTTTTTTTCTTAATGTTTATTTTTGAGAGAGACAGAGACAGAGCACAAGTTGGGGAGGGGCAGAGAGAGAGAGAGAGAGAGAGAGAGAGAAAGAGAGAGAGGGAGATATAGAATCTGAAGCAGGCTCCAGGGTCTGAGCTGTCAGCACAGAGACGGACTCCAGGCTGGAACTCGTGAACCATGAGATCATGACCTGAGCAGGGCACCTGGGTGGCTCAGTCAGTTAAGCATCTGACTTCAGCTCAGGTCATGATCTCACAGTTTCTGTGTTCGAGCCCCATGTGGGGCTCTGCGCTGACAGCTCAGAGCCTGGAACCTGCTTCAGATTCTGCATCTTCCTCTCTCTCTGCCCCTCCACTTGCACTCTATGTCTCTCTCTCTCTCAAAAAAAAAAAAAAAAAAAAATTAAAATAAAAAAAAGATCATGCATGACCTGAGCTGAAGTTGGAGGCCTAACCAACTGAGCCACCCATGCTCCCTTCCATGGTCCCTGATTCTAATCTGCATGCCCACCCATGGGTCCCTTTCACACAGAGTCTTCCTCTAGAACTTCCTAGAGTATTCCCAGGCAGCAGAGGCAGGGCCTTTTCAGCCATCAGACCGTATGGATGACACGGATCCACTTCTTTGATAAGATTTTGAATTCATAAAATTTTGTTACATTTGAAAAAAGTTGTAGGTTAGATTTGCTTGCTTTTCAGCAATTCCAAGTATGTCTGAGATTGTCCATAAATTGCTGCTAATTGTAATTGCATGAGTTGCTGGTAGACAAATATTTTCAAAAGGCAATTATAAAAACTCAAATGTTTCACAGCAAAAATGAATGTTTGATATGATGTGAGATGAAGCCTTCGGATATGAAGTTATGAGAACCAACAAAGAACTTAGAATGGCCTCATGACAGGTCTCCACCCATCCGCACCTCAGACATAGCACTCCATCGAGGAAGATCCAGGGGTACTTGGGTGGACCCAGGAGTACTTGGGGTTCAGTGTAGGGCCAGGGAGACCCCTCTCAAACCGGGGACATAGAGGTGGGAGAAGCAAAAACAAAAGATGAACAAAGGTTTGAGTATGTGCATGAATACCTTCCTTGTAAATCATGGTCCTCATTAGCATAAAAGACTGACAAAGGATGTCAGATAAACAGAAAGAGAAGACACACTTTAGAGTGATCACAGAAACTCTAAGTAAATACACATCCTCGAGAGAGCCAAATGCTTACCGTGCTAGAAAAACACAGCATACAACTGCAGCTTTGAAAGAGAATGTTCTAGCTCTAGAGTGAGAAGTTTGCCTGGAAGAGCCAGAATAGTCAGGAGAGAGGCAAGTCTGGGGACTGTCCCATTGCAGCCGGTCCCCACAGACACTGTAGCCTCACCTCTCAAAAGCAAACCCACTGTAGGCCATACCCCGTGGCCCACCCCAGGCGGTGAATGCAGTGTGGAGAGAAGTGCCTTTAGCCTAACGGCTTGTTTCGAACTTACCAGGAAATTGCCGTATTCCTTAAAGCAGGATGATTAAATTAAAAAAAGCTTTCTGAACCTTTCTTATGATTTACAAAATATCACAGGGCCATGTTTTCTTGCTCACGATGACATTCTGAATTGTTAAGGGAAGCGGGACGGAAAAGACAGTTGGGTTAATAGAAACTTCCATATAGTGGTGAAGCCAGGATTCAAACTCCGGCAGCCTAACTCCAAAGCTGTCCCGGACCTGCCCCATAAAGCAGAAAGTGAAACAACACAGGTTTTGGAGGCAGGCTGCTCTGGTGTGGTCGGGGTCACTGCCAAACTAGCTGCCAAACTATGGGCAAGCTGCTTGGTGCTCCCCCTCCCCTCTGCCGCTAAATCTCATCAATAAAATGAGTTGTTCAGGTTGAATGATGTCATCTGTTTAACTCGTGGCACATTGTGAGAGTCCAGTAAACGATCATTACTATTAATGGACAACATGTCAGGGGCCCACCTATTCTTTAAAATAAGGAATGGTAAGAAATTGTTAATTCTTTATGCTTTGTGTCTCTCCCACCGTGGGTAAGGGGAGATATGATCTGGGAGGTTCTTATAGGTCCCCCGTGCCCCATGGATTTGTGATGCTGGTCCCCAGCCTACCGCGTACTAGCCTTGTAACCTTGAGTCGATCCCACTTTTCTCCTTGGCCCGGTGTATGGAAGTACCCTCTGCCAGACAACCCCAGTCCCCTGTCAGGGCCTTGCAGTTTCTCTTGGAATTCAATCCCGGTCTAACCCATGACCTTGTTTTCCTTCGGGCCCACACCTGTGCAGCTGCTCCCTTTGCCTCAGACACCAGAGAGAGTTGGCAGCTTTATAAATGGCTGTATAAATAGTCATGGCTTCCAGCATGTTAGATGGAAGAGTTTAATACGCCTGGAACAATATTATCTCTGGACCTTGGCCATGAGAATGTGCAGGGCTGCTCTGAGACCTTGTGAGGGCTTGCGGCCCCAGATCACCTGTTGAGTTTTACGGGAAAGCGAGACACTGCCCCATCCTTAGTTTCCAGGTAGGCCCTGGGATTCTGGTCCAAAGGATATCAGAGGTGGGGGGTTTTGGCCGGTTTGGGGCCTGAGGAGAAGCTTGAAGGCTTAGTTCTTGCTGCAAACACCCACCACGACTCAGAAATCAGGAGAAAGTTTTCTGAGGGGTGTGCCTCTGTGCCCAGCACCACTTTCTCACCCCTGCAGGCAGAGCCTGTGAGAGATTGGAGGTGGGGCTCCCTGGTACCCATCTCCCCTAGGCTGCAAGAACACAGGGGCTGTGGGAATTCTTCATAGGCTCTGGTTCTTTCTGGGTTGGGGGGGAGGGTGCCCAAGCTCTAGCATCGCCAATCTTCCTTGTGACCTGGACTGAGTCCTTCCTCTCTTTGTAGCTATTTCTTTCTTGTGAAATATGAAGGCTCTGGGCTGGTGGAGAACAGCGGTCTGAGAGTGTGGGAAGCCCAGGCCAGGAACTTTGATTCAGGCCCAGGACACTGCTCTGCCTGATCTCTGTCACCTCATTGCCTTCCTCTGCTGCCCAGGGGTCCAGAAGCTCCCGTCCGAAGGAGACTAAAGGCTTCCATACCTACACCAGGGCCGTCGCTGTCCCCTCCATTCTGGGTGGGGGCTGGTGACCGAAATTCTCCCTCCCTCCCTTTCTCTGTCCCCACACCCCTGCCACACTTCTGTACCGCCTGGCGATGCCCACCTCCAGACCTGGGAGATGCAGACTGAGATGGGGAGATTTGTGGGAGCTGCCCCTGCCTGTCACACTAGCAACTCCTCTCAAACCCTGCCTCCCGCTGCTGCCTGAGACTGCGATCTGGTGGCTGATAAGTGCCTTGGGCCTCACCCTCTTGGCAGCCCTGGGTTTCAGTACTTGGGAGACAAGCAGGGCAAGCCGGAGCCCTCTACTGAATTGCCCCTTCCCTTTAAGGAGAGCGCCACTGGCAGATGGGCGGAGTGTGGTGGGGAGGAAGGGGATACCTCTAACTCCAGAGGAACCCCCCCCCCCCATCTTCTGCAGTACACGTGGGTTCTGGAGCGGGAGTGCTTGGGTTCAGATCTCCATACCATCACTGTCATCTGTGTGTGTGTGTGTTTTAATTTTTAAACGTTTCTTTATTTTTGAGAGAGAAAGAGACAGAATGTGAACAGGGGAGGGGAAGAAAGAGAGGGAAACACAGAATCTGAAGCAGGCTCCAGGCACTGAGCTGTCAGCACAGAGCCTGATGCAGGGCTTGAACCCATAAACTGTGAGATCATGACCTGAGCTGAAGTCAGACGCCTAGCTGACTGAACCACCCATGCGCCCCATGTCATCTGTGTGTTTTTGAGCAAGTTATTGATCTCTCTCAGTCTCCTTTTCCCCACCTATAAAATGAGCGTAATTATAAGAATGGCTTCCTTATAGAGGCGCCTGGGTGGCTCAGTTGGTTAGGAATCTGGTGCTTGATCTCAGCTTGGGTCATGATCTCATGGTTCATGGGACCGAGCCCCACACTGGTCTCTGTGCTGACAGCGAGGAGCCTTCTTGGGATCCTTTCTTTCCCTCTCTCCCTGCCCCCCTCCCACTTGCTCTTTTTCAATCTCTCCAAATAAATTAAAAAATTTAAAAAACAGTTTAAAAGAATGGCTTCCTTATAATGTTGCTTTGAGATCGAGACTCTCCATGTTTCAGTCCTGGCCCCATGCACAGCCCACAGAAAGCACTCCCTAAGAGGTTAACGAACATTATGTATTCTTTTGTCTTTGGCCTGAACGAATCTCAAGATTCAAGATTTCATTGGGTCTTCTGCTTCCTCCGGGCCCGTGATTCCCGAACCTTTCTGCCCATTAAAGCCCTCTGGGACCTTTACAAAATTCCAGAACCCAGACAACAACACTCCAGATCGGTGAAATCCCAGTCTGGGGGCCGGGGGGAGTACGGGGAGGCACAGTCACCAGTGGCTGTGGAAGTCCTCCAGGGGATCTCAACGAGCAGCAAATGTAGAAAGCACTGTTCTTTGTTGACCAACTGACTGGTTGAGGGGTCCCCTTTAGGGATAGCGATTTGTCCCAGAAACCTTCCTCTTTTATTTTATTATAATTTCATTCTAATATTGACCGGAAGTCAAGTATCTCCTTCAGGACTAGTAAAACGCTCTCATGCTTCACCTTAAGGCAAGTTTCTTTTATATTGAGGGAGTAGAGAATAGCCATCACCCTATATCAAAGGCTCAGGTAGTAGTATTTGCTGGGTCTCTTGCCCCCAGGACTTCACAGGTGTGACAGGGGCCATCCAGCTGATAGGAGACAGAGTGTTGGCATTGGATGCTGGTAGCTGGTCACAGCCAGAGACAAAGACACCTTCTAAATTCTGCCTGGGACTTCCTCTTTTATTTTATTATAGTTTCATACTTCTCCATATTCAGCCTGAGGGTAACTATAAACCTGGGTGAGCTTCCTATTTATTTAGTTGTACACAGGTGAAGGAGTTAACTACGTGCATTCTTCACGACAGGGCTTGAAAGTGAGTGTCACCGGAGAGCACTGTAGCAGGTGAGAGAGAGGTGGGCTTACATGCTCTGGGGTCTTCAGGGGAGGCTATGTGAGGGAACCCCCCTATCCCTGTATGACTCTTTGGAATTTCCAGTACAGTCTTCCATGTTTGATCTCCTTATAATCACCTCGTGAATCTGGTATTATTATCTTTATTTTACAGACCAGGAAAGTGAGGCTCAAGTGCTTGTCCAAGCCATGGGGGCGGGAAGGGCGGAGCCAGGATTCAAAGCTGAACCCGAGGATCTTTTCCCACACCACTGCTGCTTCCTGTCTGGGACTTACCATCCCTTCTCCACATACCCTCTGTTTTCTCTGCCTCTCCCTGACGCAGAATTCTTACCTTCAGGTACCTCTCTCACACTGACCCATTCCAGCCCCTAGCTCCACTTCCTTTCCTTCCTCTGGCTCTGCTGGGTTTCTCTCCACATCTCCCATGCCAGGGGGCCGAGCCTTGGCTCCCCTCCTCTACCCACAGCTCCCCGAGGGGGGTCGGGGTCGGGACTAGGGCTGTGCAGACCTAGTTATGAGATGCCAGAACTATGTAACTGTCCTGGCTGACCTGGGACTATCCTGGTTTATGAACTGCAAGTGCAGGCAAAGTCATCTGGCCAGGATCTGAGAGTAACTGTATCCATGCTTGTTTAGTGTATTATAGTGTTCTATGCTTTTTTTCAATGCCTTATAGCATTGGAGAAGTTTCCTTGAGAAATAGCTACTCTGGGCTAAAATGAACAAAGCAGAGGATTCCAGATGCTGGCAAGGATGTGGAGAAATGGGCACCCTCCTACACTGTTGGTGGGAATGTAAACGGGTGCAGCTCCTCTGGAAAACAGTATGGAGGTTCCTCAAAAAATTAACAACAGAACTCCCCTATGACCCAGCAATAGTCCTGCTGGGAATTTACCCAAGGGATATAGGAGTGCTGATGCATATGCATAGGGGCACATGTACCCCAATGTTCATAGCAGCACTTTCAACAATAGCCAAAACATGGAAAGAGCCTAAGTGTCCATCAACGGACGAATGGATCGAGAAGATGTGGTTTATCTCTACAATGGAATACTACACGACAATAAGAAACAATGAAGTCTGGCCATGTGTAGCAACATGGATGGACCTTGAGGGTGTTATGCTGAGTGAACTAAGTCAGGCAGAGAAGGACAAATACCATAGGTTTGCACATATAGGAGGATTAGGGGGAACTTAACGGAGGACCATGGGGGAGAAGAAGGGGAAAAATAGTTGGGGAGAGGGAGGGAAGCAAACCATGAGAGACTCTTGAATGCTGAGACAAACTGAGGACTGATGGGGGTGGGAGGGAGGGGAAGAGGGATGATGGGCATGGAGGGGGGCACTTGTGGGGATGAGCACTGGGTGTTATATGGAAACCAACTTGACAATAAACTATTAAAAAAAGAGAGAGAAATAGCTACTCTGATTCCTTTAAGTATCTTAGGCTCTGGAATAAGGGACTTGCCTAAGATCACAGGCTAGTAGAAGCAGGGCCGGGAGCAGAAACCAGTTTTTGTGACTGTAAATTTCAGGCTCACTCTCTCGTCTATCCCACAGTGTCTCCTGGAGACAATCCACTAAACAGTTGCTGAGCAAAGAAGGTGTGGAGGCCTGAAGCTGCCCACAGAGCCCCTCCCAGCCTAGGATGTCTTCCCCTCACTGCTGCTGCCAAATACCTCTCTTGCTTTTTCCCACCACCCGCCTTTCCCACCTCTGTAGCTGTTGGCAGCCGTGATCTCAGGTCCCACTTAAAAAAATTTTTTTTTAAATGTTTATTTATTTTTGAGAGACAGAGAGAGTCAGAGTGCCAGCAGGGGAGGGGCAGAGAGAGAGGGAGACACAGAATTCAAAGCAGGCTCCAGACTCCGAGCTGTCAGCACAGAGCCTGACGTGGGGCTTGAACTCATGAACCTCGAGATCATGACCTGAGCTGAAGTCGGACATTAATGGACTGAGCCACCCAGGTGCCCCTTAGCCCAAACTTTGGCAAAAATGTTTACTTTTTGCATAAATACAAAGGAAAAGGACATTTGAAATATGAGGGGAAAAATCCTCCTACAATCCTTAATAAATTGATTCACTTTTTTGTTGCATTTTAAGCCTGCTTTCTGTGCATTCTTAATTTCTGTGTGTTCATAGCACAGACAGGCTTGTGTATTAGCTTTCTTCATTTAACGTTGTATCATACGCTTTTCCAACAATCTGCTACACCTTCTCCATGATGATAAGCTACCAGTTAGCTGGTTTACTGGGTCTGGACATTTAAAGTTATTCCCCCCATATTATTATTATTATTATTATTATGAAAGTTTTGGATGAAAGCCACCATCTGAGTCCAGAGGACAAGCACACATTTTTGTCGGCTGACGCTGATGCTCATTGTATGGGCTGCACTCTGTGCCTCTGGCAGTGCTTTCCAGAATATGGGGCCATACACCCATGTTGGGCCATGGGCACTTTGTTACTGGTTTGAGAAGAGATAAATACAGAATTTGAGAATAACCTCGTAAGAACATAAATTTTTTTTCTTTTTAACAATAGAACAATTTTAGGGGTGCCTGGGTGGCTCACAGTTGGTTAAGCGTCCGACTTTGGCTCAGGTCATGATCTCACGGTCCGTGAGTTTGAGCCCTGCGTCAGGCCCTGTGCTAACAGCTCAGAGCCTGGGACCTGTTTTGGATTCTGTGTCTCCCTCTCTCTGTCCCTCCCCTGCTTGCACTCTGTCTCTGTCTCTCTCAAAAATAAATGAACATTAAAACAATTTTTTTTTTAAAAACCCCACACACCGGGCTCAGTCGGTTGGGTGACTGGCTCTTGATCTGCTCTGGTCATGATCTTGTGGTTGTGGAAACAAGCCCCTTGATGGGCTCTGTGCTGGGTGAGGAGCTTGCTTGGGATCCTCTCTCTCCCTCTCCTTCTGCCCCTCCCCTGCTTGCATGGACACACACACACACACACACACACACACACACGCACGCACAGTCCTTCTCTCAAAAAAAATTGGGGGCTTGTATTTTGTATATCTTCAGAAATTCTCCTTTTTAAAAAATATTTATGTGTTTGTTTATTTATTTTGAGAGAGAGAGCATGCAGAAGAGGGGCATAGAGAGAGAGGGAGACAGAGAATCCCAAGCAGTTCCTCATAGTCAGTGCAGAGCCTGACACAGGGCTCGATCTCACAGCTGTGAGATCATGACCTGAGTTGAAATCAAGAGTCAGACACGCAATTGACTGAGCCATCCGGGGGTCCAAAAAATCTCCTTTTAGGGGAAATGTATTTTTATTTTATTTTACAAAAGCATTGGTCTACAATACATTGGAAATTAAAAAAAGAGAGATTTCAGGATGGTTTGCCTTTTGGTCTAGAAGACCATGTTAGGTCCTGGTAGGTTCTGAGAACATCTGCAACCACATACCTTGAGCACTACAGGACCTCATCTGCTTTGTGGTGGAGGAGCTTGAGACGCATAGAGCAGTGCACGATGTACCCAGCAAAATGTGAACAGCCTTGGGCAGAGTGCCCTGGCTTTCACTTACACTCAATGACCACAGTACTGTGTTTTCATGTGATTAAAATTTAGGGCGTGCACGGTGGTGACAAGAGTGGGGAGCAGAAGCAGGGTGAAGGGAGGTTAGAACAACACTTTCATCCAACCAGGGTAATGCTATGGGAGCAGATGTCTCCACCCTTGTCCCTGCTGTGGTCGCAAGGCAGTTAGACAGCCCCTTGCTTTGCCCCAGATCTCCTGGTCACACCCCAAGACAATCAACTCAATGGTGGGAGTTTCTTAGGAAGATATCAGCTACTGATTTGGGGGAAACCATATAGGAGTTTCCGGCAACTCATCCTAAGAGATTATTTGCACTCTGATCTCTGAATGGTAAAAGATGAATGATAAATGATCAAGTCGGGGAAGTTTATCTCCAGAACGATTTCTGCAACTCGTAGGTGTGAGGTTTTAAACAGATGTTGCTGGCAGACCAACTAAACATAAATATTCCCCTCCCAGGATTCGGAAGGTGCCCAGCCCAGCCATGTATATAAAGGGACTGAGCCAGACGGCTTGTCAAAGGAGGTCATAGCTCCTTCCCTCCTGGGTCTCTGTCTCCTTCCAGCTGGGCCTTCTCTTTTGGCTGCTTCTCTTGATGCTCTAGTAACCATGAGCCGCCAATTTAGCTCTCGGTCAGCATTTAGCTCCAGGAGCAGGCGGTTTTACAGCATTGGCTCTTCCACAGTCTCTCGTGGTGGGAGTCGGGCTGTGGGGTCTGTGTGTCAGGCCCGAGGCAGGTGTGGTGGTGGTGGTGGTGGTGGTGGTGGTGGTGGTGGTTGTGGGTATGGGAACCAAGCCAGGGGGTTTGGTTCTAGGAGCCTCTACAATCTGGGAGGCAGTAAGAGCATCTCCATTAGCTTAGTGGGGAGAAGTGCCAGTGGTTTCTGCCAGGGTGGGGGAGGGAGAGGGGGATTTGGAGGGGGCAGAAGCTTTGGGGGTGGTGGCTTTGGAGGTGGTGGCTATGGGGGAGGTGGTTTTGGAGGTAGCAATTTTGGGCTTGGGGGCTTTGGTCCTTCCTGCCCCCCGGGGGGCATCCAAGAGGTGACTATTAACCAGAGCCTCCTGCAGCCGCTTCACTTGGAGGTGGACCCTGAAATTCAGAAAGTCAAGACCCGGGAGCGGGAGCAGATCATGGTCCTCAATAACAAGTTTGCCTCCTTCATCGACAAGGTGAGTGCCTCAGGGGTAGGTGGGTCTCTGGCCCCTGATCAAATTACGGAAAGGGCCTTGTGCCCTTTCACCTCTTACCACCTTGTGCTGCCTCGGTTCGGTGGTGACAATCACTTCCAGAAGCATATGTTCTGGCACCTTAAGAAAGGAAAGCATTTACCTCATTAGTCCTCAATTTGACTTACTGAGGCAATTTATTTTTATTTTTTCCTTTTGGCAGGGAAGCAGATAAGAAGTGTGAAAATACCCAGACAAAATACATAGTGTAGTGACTTCATTGTCATTCATCACTATTCTCTTTCCATCCACCTGCCCATCCATCCGTCCATCCATCTGTCCACCCACTCACCAATCCATCCATTCATCCCACAAACATTTACTAAACCTCTACTATGTGTCAGATACAGTGCCAGGTGCTACAGAGTGACTAGAACACAGGTCCTGTCCTCAAGGAGCCATGGCACAGACTAAGTGAATGCCCTGGGGAGGGGTATCGCTGGGGGTTAAGGTGAATAGCATACTAAGTAGGATTCTCTCAGAGTTCCTTGTTTTAGCTCATCTAAGGCCAAGAATGAGCCAGATGGAGCCACTGAACTCCTCTCCCTAGCTCCCTAATTAAACCTCAGAGTAGCGCTGGTCCAGACCCAAAGCAGCGATCAGAGGCTGGTAGAAGGCCTATGGTGAAGACCTTCCTCCAGCATTTCCTTTTGTCCACAGGTAGAGGCATGGCAGCCACTGGAGGCTTCCCCAGAAAGTTCTTTGCTCCTGGGGATGTAGGGGGAAGAACCCCAGGGCACAAAGTTCCCTGGATGCTCAGTGACTTTCTCTTAGTCCCAGAGGAGTTCAGCGTTGAGGCCAGAGCCTGACCTGTGGTCTGACTGTAGAATAATCATGACCAAAGTCTACCATAGTGCTGTATACCCAGCCTCTGATATCTGGGCAAATGCTGGGGACAGGACAGAGTGTGTGAGCTGGGGCAGGAAGGGTAAGAGAGGTGAGGCCCAAAGATGGCCAAACAGGGGTTCAACAGAGCAAAGTGCCTCTGGCTACTTCTGGTCACCCTGGATGGGAAATTTGGCTGCATATCACTACACCTCAGGCATGGGAAGGGACTGGGAGCACTTGGCTGGAGCAAGGAGGTGACAGGTGAAGGAGGCAACACTGGAGGTCAAGACTAGGACAAAGGAGGAGGAGGGATAGAGAGGGCTGGAGGTGAGTGAAATGGCCACGGGCTACTGGAAACTGATACCCTAGGACTCATTTAATTGGGGTTCCTGCCATTAAGATGACATTTGCTTCATCTTATGGCATGGGGCTGTGGGCAGAGGCCAAGTTGTAGGAGACTGTGGCAACCTGTCCTTCTTAAGAGGATGGCTTGTCATGACCGTGAGGAAAAGAACCCTCATCCAGGAGGGCTCTGGCGTGGCTGGAAGGGAGAAAGATTCTACTGCAGTGGATTCTGACTCTAGTTTCTGATCTGGTCTTTTCTGCTCTCACCCTTAATCCCATTTGGCCCATTCTCAGAACCACAGGAGAGCCATCCTTTAAAACATCACATCATGGGGTGGGCACCTGCGTGGCTCAGATGGTTAAGCATCTGACTTCAGCTCAGGTCCTGATCTCATGGTTTGTGGGAGCCCACTTCAGATCCTCTGTCTCGCTCTCTCTCTGCCCCTCCTCTGCTCTCTCTCTCTCGCTCTCTCTCTCAAAAAAGAATAAACATTAAAAAACCCAACAACCCATCACATCACTTCTCTGAATCCTCCACTGGATGTTTGTCTCATTTGGAATAAAAGCCAAGATCCTATAGGGCCCTTTGTGGCCTGGCCCTCCAACCCACAGCTGCTGCTAACCCCTGGCTTGCATTTGTGAGAATTAGGCAACATTGCCACCACTGGGTGGAACAGCAGTCAAGCTGCAAGTGATAGTGAACAGAAAGAGGGCTGGAGCTTAGCTCCCCAGGGTACAGACTCATGTCTGCAGTGACCCTACACTCCCTCCCTGCCTCCTTTCCTGTTTTTCTCTTGCTTACTATTCCATTCTTGCATCCTCCAGCACCACAAGCCTGCCTGGGGCCTTTGTTCTCGCCATTCCTTCTGCTTTGAACTCCTGCTTCCTGAGAGTGGTCTGGCTTCCTCCTTCATTTCTGTTGGGTCTTTTCTCGGATGCCACTATCTTAGTGAGGCCTTCCCTGATTTCCCCCACCTTTTAAAAAAATGTTAACTTATTTATTTTGAGAGAGAGAGGGAGAGAGAGAGAGCACCAGTGCCAGTGGGGGAGGGTCAGAGAGAGAGAGAGAGAGAGAGAGAATCTTGAGCAGGCCCACATTCAGTGCGGGGCTTGATCTCATGACAATTATAAGACCATGATCTGAGCCAAAATCAAGAGTCAGACACCCAACCAACTGAGCCACCCAGGTGCCCCTGATCTCTTATTGAAGTAGCCCCTCTACACTAGCATATCTGTGCAACATTCCTGTGTTACTTTTCTCCATTGTGCCTCAGGCCATTTGACACATTATAGAGTTCACGTGCCTCTGAGTGTAGACTCTCAAGGCCAGTCACCACCCTGGGGTAGAGAATTCAAGCTCAGATGAACAAAGCCAGGCCAGTATTCCCGTGGGAAGAGATGGACCTCCCTCCTTTCCCTCCTGAGTTCCCTTTTTTTGTTATTGGTACTACAACAGCCTTTCTCTCCATTTCTACTCTCAGAGGGTCCAAACTGACACCTAAATGGCTGACTCAGTTTGTTTCAACACGTATTTGTTTTGAGTACTTATCATATGCCAGGGACTCTTCTGGGTGTTGGAGATTCAATTGTAAACAAAATAGACAAAATCCCTGACTTCTAGGAGTTTCCATTCTGTTCAGAGAGATGGCTGTCTACACTCAGAGGCAATTCCAAAGCCCTTAGCATTTCATTAGTCCATGACACCTATGAGCTGTCTTCCCTGTGTTGAGCACAGACCCTGTGGATCTGAGCACCTTGTGTCCACAGGATAATGAAGCAGACATGGTCCTGCCTTCCTGAGGCTCCCCCCAGCAGGGGAGGGATGTGCTCAAACAGCACCAGGTGATGGCAATCACAATGATGCTAAGGGGAAGGAAGGGAAGGCTACGAAGGCAAGACCCCAGGGAGATGCCACCTTCATTGAGTTTAGAAGGGTACATGGGAGTTAGCCAGGCAAAGAGTTGGGGAGATCTGGGTTGCTGGAGGCAGTGAGAGGTCCCTGTGGCTAGAGTGTCACGAGCAGGAAGGAGAGGGGCATGACAGGCTGAGAGGGGTACACTTTTTCTAGTAAGTTCAGCTCAGCACGATGCTAAGTTTCATCTGTGCTGATGGGACACAGCCCAAGAGTGTTTGCAGGGAGGAAAATCGCAATGGCTTTCAGTGATTTTTCAAGTGATTAAATCCCATTAAAATTGCCTGGCACTCCCTGAAGCTGGTCTCTGCCTCTACAGTTTGGGTGGCCTGCCAGGAACCACAGTTTCTTTTGCTGGTGTGCTCCCAAGGTATCATGTGCGTAGGGGAAGAGGGTGTTACAGCTGACCTGCCTTCATTGTTTGATGTGGAGATTCCTCGTGGGCCCATGAGATTGTTTCCTTTCAGTCCCCACAATACTGAGCACAGGGCTGAGACCCCATGTCTGACTGATTTCTCCACCTCCCCGCAGAGCTGCGATAGAGTAAATTAGGCCAGGCAGCTGGCATTTCCCACTGGGGTGTTTCCAGCTGAGGCAACTTGTGTGAGCTCCCTGCCTTTCTCTAGATGGGCCATCTTGATTCTCCGAGGTCTGGATAGGCTGTGCGGTTGCCCATTTTCCTACCCGTGGGGGTGCTTCTTGGACCCGCAGCCTGGTGTGAACTTGGACATCTCTTGCTCTTAGGTGCGATTCCTGGAGCAACAGAATCAGGTGCTACAAACAAAATGGGAGCTGCTGCAACAGGTGAACACCTCTACCCGGACCAATAACCTGGAGCCCATCTTGGAGAGGTACATCGGTGAGCTGCAGAGGCAGGTGGATTTTCTCAATGCGGAGCAGATGCGCCAGAACACGGAAATCAGGAGTATGCAGGATGTCGTGGAGGACTACAAGAACAAGTGAGACCCCAGGCAGGGCGAGGGGGCCAGGGAAAAGGATGGCAGGATGGCAGGGAACTGATGCAGGGGCAAGATGTTCTTAACATTAGCGTTCATGTGCGAGGTGCGGACTGGGGTCCTCAGGTATAGAAGGGACCATCTTGCCTATGGCAACTCTGGGGGGATGGTCCTGCCAGGCAGCTCTCAACTGTGTTAGGCGATGAAGAATAGACTATCCTCATGGTGCTAGACCCAGATGAGCCAGTTTCCAGTGGACTTTGCCACTTTCTAGCTGCTTACAAGTTTTTCTTTCTAAGTTTTTAGTGTTCACCTTCATAAAGTGGGGATGGTAAGCCCCCTTCCTGTTCGGTTGCCATGACCGGTGGATCTGGGCTCTCAGATTCCAGTGTAGCAGGCTGGCTGAGTAGGCTGGAGTGAGGTGGGGCATTTGCATTCCTAGCGTGCTTCCACATGATGCTGGTGTTGGTGGACTGGGGACCACACTTTGAGAACCACTTGTGTAGATGACATTATGCTTAACAAGTTCCTAGATTATGTCTGCACATATCAGTCCTAACTATCATTCATCATAATGGTGGGGACTTGTCTGATTCCACATCAGTGGCTCCTGCACCGTGCAGACAACAGAGCAGCCTCACCCTCCCCACGCTCGGGGTGCAGGGTGTTACTCTTGACATCATCCTGAGACGCTAGTCAGAGAGTCAAGAGTATGTGACTCAAAAAGGGAAAGATAAAACTCAGCCTGAAGGTGTTGGGGGCGAAATTGTAGGTGACATATTTTCTCTTTAAAATAATTTAGAAAACGTATTTATGTTATCAACTGTAAAAAAAAAAATGAGTGAGTGTGACACATTTATAAAAGTAAAACATCAAAAGAAAAACGGACCCTTTGGGAGTGTTCTGTGTGGCTCTGCACTTTCCACGTTGGGTCGTTGTCCCTTCCGTTGACCTGGAAGGCCAGGAGCTGGCTTCAGCTGCTTGTTAGTGAGAGTGGCAGGCTCTGGCAGGGTGTAGCCCAAGTCCAGGATGGTAAAAGTCTGGGAAATTCCAAGCCTCCTGCTGTGAGGAGAAATCTCAAGGAGCCAAGGTCAGCCTCTGCAGCATTTCTGTGGTTCTTACCTCCCCCCACAGATATGAGGAAGAAATCAACCGGAGGGCCAGCACTGAGAATGACTTTGTCGTCCTGAAGAAGGTGAGGGATGAGAGTGATCCAAGGGGGGCTGTGGGCTCAGGGGGCTGAACAGAGTGAGGAAATCTTGTAGGATGCTGTGTGACCAAGGGGTGCACAGGGTGACCGGTGCAGGCAGCTTGCTGAGGGCATGGCCTGAATGTCAGGCCCTTCCCCTGAAGGGTAAATCTGCAAGTGATGTTGATAGGATTCTTGAGGTCTCCTTGGGTGCTTATCTCTCCATAGTCATGAATGTGAGGTTCAATCAACTGACTCCTTTTGAACATCAGTTATGTGTGGCCTTGGGATCTGGGGGGGTGGTGCTGGGGTGCTGTGTGCGACTGACTAGGATGAGGGGCTTGGTGGCACATTTCCTGCTGGCCTTCTGGCCAGGAAAGCCAGGGCTTTTGCAAGTTCTTCACTGGAGCAAGGTGTGGAAATTTGCAGGCAAGGAAATAAACTGAAGGAGGCTTTGCCACTTGTCTGGGTCACCCAGTGAGCTGGTGGCAGGCGACACCTGGGCAATAAAGTCAGACTCTCTTTGCTTGCCGTTCAGGATGTGGATGCTGCTTACATGAGCAAGGTGGACCTGCAGTCCAAGGCAGATGCTCTGTTTGGGGAAGTCAATTTCCTGAAATATTTATTTGATATGGTGAGTTCAGTCCTCATAAGAAACCTTCTCTTTCCTCATATCTCACAAAGGGTGTGGGCTGTTAAGGGGGAAGGTCTGAAACCCACCATGACCCACTTAGGGATTCTTCTCCCCAGTCACCTCCACTCTGTGGGACTGGAGTCAGCCCCTCAAATCCCAGTGCTCAGATTCCTGGGTGGGGGTGCTGGAGGTGGGAGGCAGGGAGAGTCCCAAGGCAGGAGATGGAGCAGCCCTTGATTCTACCTGGAAATGAGGTTAATACCTGGGACATACAGGGGCAAAACTGACCACAAATCATCAGTGCTGGGTAGCCAACACGGCTACTGGGGAATTCTGTAGGAGAGGACAGTGTGGATCCTAAAAGGAATGAACATGAAGCCCGCAGGGGTGAGGGATAATATGCTCCTACCACCTCTGGCCCTACTGTCACTCACGTCCAAGTTGTGGGCGCCTGCCCTGTCTTGGGTCTCTCCATTCAGCAGATGAGAGAGCTGAGACACTGAGAGACTCAGTCTTTAGCTCAGTGATTCAGCTTGTCTGTGGTAGAGTCCAGGCTCCAAACTGAGTGAGTGGGTACACAAGTAGAGCCTTTTCTACTGCCTCTGAGAGCTCATGTAGTTTTCAGGGAGCAAGTCTGCTCGTCAGAGGGCCCAATCCAAGATGGCAGCCAAGCCAAGTTAGGTGGGGAGAGAGGGCACAGGAGAGGGATGATGGGCAGGTACCTACCTGGGCTCGGAGTTCAGGCTCCTTTCTTTTCCCCAGGGGCTAGGTTGGGGGCCTTTACCTTTAGTTAAGGCACCTCTCAGTGCGTAACAACCATTCACAGAACTTTCCCCAAGATTCCCATCTGGCCCAAGCTTCTGGAGTCCCCAGAGAGCCTTGAGGGGAAAGTAGAGGGAAACTGAGGTTCTGGGAGGAGAGTGGAAAGACTCAGCCTGTGGTCCATGCCTCGCAGGAGCTGTCCCAGATGCAGACACACATCAGCGATACCAATGTCATCTTGTCTATGGACAATAACCGCTCCCTGGATCTGGACAGCATCATTGATGCAGTGCGGACCCAGTATGAGCTGATCGCACAGAAGAGCAAGGACGAGGCCGAGGCGCTGTACCAGACCAAGGTGACCATGCTGCTCCCCTCCCCCCAGACTTGGTACCTCAAACCAAACATACCCCACCCCCCGAACTTGTATCATCTTTCTCTTACTTCAGAGGTAATAAATGAGTATGTATATGTATCTATATACATTTTATACATATATATGAAATTTTTTTCTACTCCTTATAACAACCCTGTGAGGTAAGGATTTGATTATCCCTATTTTGAAGATAACAGAGTCTGAGATAGCCTACTTTCCCTAGGGTCTGACAGCTGGTAAGCAGCAAAGGCAGGGTGTAAATATAGGTGTCCTGTCTACAAACCCATGCTATAAACCACTATAATGTTTTTATTATTTTTTTCATAATGATATCTTAAAAATTTTTATTTATTTGAGAGAGAGAGAGAGAGCAGAGGAGAGGCAGAGAGAGAGGGGGACAGGGCATCTGAAATGGGCTCCATGCTGATAGCAGTAAGGCCAATGTGAGGCTCAAACCACGAACCATGAGATCATGACCTGAGCTGAAGGTGGACATTTAATCTGCTGAGCCACCCACACACCCTTTTTTTTTTTTTTTTGAGAGCAAAGGAGAGAGAATCTTAAGTAGGCTCCCAGGCTCAGCACGGAGCCCGATGTAAGACTCAATCTCATGACTGTGAGATCATGACCTGAGCCAAAATCAAGAGTTGGACACTTAACCAACTGAGCCACTCAGGCGCCCCCAAAATGATATCTTTGAAACTATAGTTTTGTACTTTTCTCTTTCACTTATTATTTATGAATTCTGTTCTGTGATGTTAAACATTCTACATCATTTTTAATAACAGCATGGTATTCTGCAATAAGAATATACTCTCATCAAATAAACATCTTTGTGGCTAAGTCTTCGGGCACATCTTTGATCACTTCTTTAATGTAAATTGACTCAGCCCTTTTTGGAGTGTGAAGATTGTAGTTAAGTGTCAAAGGCCACTCGCTACATTCTAAACTCCTGGCACTTGAGATCTGCCTTCTCAATTCCAACCCTGGCTAGCCTCTGTCCTGCAGACAAGTGTTCTGAGAGCCATGGATTTCGGCACCAGGTTGGGGAGGGAGATGGTCAACAGGGACGGCATCGGAATTCAGAGATTCCCTTGAGCCAACCTCCCCCTTGCTTCCTCCGGGGCCCTGTCTATGGGTTCCTATTGATGGGGCCACAAAGACACAGAAATCAGACAGGGAGGCGAATGGGAATAAACAAGGAACATGCTCAGGGCCTCTGAGGAAATGAGTCCTGGCTGTTAGGGAAATCGTCCTGGAAAAGGGTAGGAAGGAGTATGGTGTGGTAGTAAAAGTAAAGGGGTCTCAATGTGGGGAAGGGCCAGTGGTAAGGCTTAGATGAGGGAAGACAAGGTGGAAAAGGGCATCCAAGAGCAGGTTTATCTGTGCGGGGTATGGGTCTGGCCCAGAGACTGGTGAGAAGGAGGGTGGCTTGAACAAGATTGTGTGTGTGTGTGTGTGTGTGTGTGTGTGAGAGAGAGAGAGAGAGAGAGATGTCATAGCTCAGATGAGGGAGCTATGGTACAGGAGAGTGTGTATGGGGGGTATGGGGCCCTAGTGGCGGGGGTGGGGCATACTCGGGAACTATCCCAGGGACAGTAGCTTTGGGTAGGGTCTGGGAAGGCAGACTCACTCCTCTTGGAGGGCCTCCGGGTGAGCAGCAGGCTGACCATGATGCTGCCTCTGACCCTCAGTACCAGGAGCTCCAGATCTCGGCAGGAAGACACGGAGATGAGCTGAAGAGCAGCAAGATGGAGATTGTTGAGCTGAACCGCACCATCCAGAGGCTGCAAGCAGAGATCAGCAACATTAAGAAGCAGGTGAGAAGGATGCTCGGATATGGGGGAGGTGGGGGGCGGGGCTGAGCAGACCAGCCACCTCCCACAAGGCTGCCAGATGGGGCTCCTGAAACTTCACCCCCAACTTGGTCCTTCTCTGTGGTGATGGTTTCCTGAGCAGATTGAGCAGATGCACGCGGCCATTTCGGATGCAGAGGAGAGAGGAGAGCAGGCCCTGCAGGACGCGCAGCAGAAGCTGCAGGGCATGGAGGAGGCCTTGCAACAGGCCAAAGAGGAGCTGGCCCGGCTGCTGCGAGACTACCAGGCGCTGCTGGGGGCCAAGCTGTCCTTGGACGTGGAGATCGCCACCTACCGCAAGCTGCTGGAGGGCGAGGAGAGCAGGTGGGCCATACTTTGGGGCAAAATGCGGCCGCACCCCTGGAGCAGTGAGAGGAAGACCCGGCTTCTCCGGGAAGATTGGTAGCCCATCCCTTAGGGCCACAGCAGAAACATTCAAGTCAGAAGCAGAGGATGTATGAGTCCAGGGTCATTGTCATCATCCCCTGCATCCAACCACAATGTTTCTCTCCCCAACCCAAGCCATTGCGGCCAATGCGAAAAGCCTCCAAAACACCGCTTAAACCCCCTCTGTAGCCCCGCACTCCCGGACCTCCTGGGCGTGCGCACCCACCTTTCCCGAAACTTGGGGACAGCTGTCCCTGCTCGTGAGCGTCTTGGCTCCTGATGCCTCCAGGCTGCGGCCTGCCTTCCGTGGGGCTTCGTGGGTCTGGCTAACATGTGCGCTTTGGTTTTCCAGGATGTCAGGGGAGCTGCAGAGCCACGTGAGCATCTGTGAGTAGCAGAGCCCAAGCCGGGTGGTTGGGGCTGGGTGGGGGCAGGGCCCACGACGGCTGACACCAGCCGCTGGCCCTGAGCCTTGTCGTTTCGGGTTCTGCACAGCTTAACGCAGAAGTGAGCAGACAAACTGCAGCGCCCGGGTTGGGGGGGCGGGGGGGGAGGAGAAGTCGCTGAAACAAAAGGTTACAGTTTTAGTTCTTACTCATTTTACTTTTTCTGATACAATCGCCCGTAGCAGCTTGGAACTCTTTAGGGTATAGCAATAATGAAAACGGGTCTGGACATCACTGTGTCCTAGGAGAAATACTTAAGAAAAACGGGAACCCTTTCATCCGATGTATCTTTTTGCAAGTCAGATGATGCCAGCAATTAACGATGTAGGAGGGTGTCTGAGGGCGGGTGCAGGCGGGTGCTGTTGGGTCCCCCACTACCCCTCCACCCCCCTCCCCGTCCCCTCCCCCTGCCAATCCTTCTGACCCTGTTCCTTTGGTCTGCCCTCTCCCCACAGCTGTGCAGAGCAGCCAGACCACCGTCAGCGGTGGGGGAGGCGGCGGTTACAGCAGTGGCGGCTACAGTGGCGGCAGCTCTCGCAGGGGTGGCGGCGGCTACGGCGGCGGCGGCGGCGGCGGCGGGGGCTCCCGAGGGGGCAGTGGAGGTGGTTATTCGGGCGGCACCAGTGGGAGCTACGGAGGGAGCAGCAGGGGCAGCAGCAAGTACGGTGGCAGAGGCGGCGGGGGCTCTTCCCGCGTGCAGATCATCCAGACTTCCACCAACACCTCCCACAGGAGAATCGTGGAGTAGAGGAAAGGCTCACTCCAGTCCCCCCAGCCCCCATCAGCAGGGCTCTCTCCTGTGCCCTCCCCCATGCCCTTCCGGAACCCCTCTCACTTACCTTTTCCTTATGGGTCTCAGCAGTTTTGCCAATACATCCCACTCTCGCCAGGCAAGCAGGTAGATAGTGGATAACCCCCAACAGCAGATCTGTCTCCAGAGGGTGCTGGCTGCCAGGCAGAGTCACAGCCAGACACACTCTCAACTCAGACTCCACTGGGCTGGCCCCGCTCCCGCCCCTGGGAACACCCAAGCGCCCCAGTTTAGAGATGGAGAAAAGGAACCCCCCCAACACCCCCCCCCCCCCCCCCCCGTAGTGTATCTACAAAGCAGATAATAGAGCGTTAATGTCAAGGACCCCAGGTACCTCACTCCCAGGCTCCCTTCCCTTGCCCTTGGGCTGCTCTCTGCACAACAGCCCATCCCTTAGGGCCACAGAATGAGGCCTCTGGGCAAGTAGCTTGGCAAGGGGAACCTCTGTGCCTGCGGCTCATTACTGTCTGTTGCTCTGTTAACCTCCTACTTTCATTTCCTTCATCCATGGAGAGTGTGGATTTGCTCTCCTATTCAGATGCCTGTAAGTCATGTCTGCTCTTGCTTCGGAATCTCTGTCTTAAGAAGCGTTATCCTCTGGGTTAACAGCCCAAGGTAGGAGTATTTCAGAGGGCATGCGTCCTTGTTCCCCTGGGAGGACTAATTATCCCTAAATGGAGGAGTCAATGAACAAATAATCTGGTTCTGTTGTGTCCTGCTCTTCCTGAGAGCTGCATTCTTTGGAAGCCTGGCCCTTCCTAAACTCTGCTCCATAACAGCACTCCTGAGAATCGTCTAGTAGGCTGGGCACATGCAGCCCGGCTCTGTTTTGTCCGGGTGCCCAGGCCCTGGAGAGTTTGAGGATCAGACACGGGCCTTGGGAGGGTTCAGTCCTGAACCAGTTTGGAAGCTGCCTGTTATTTGTAAGGAAACTTAGTGCCCTTTCCCAGGTCTCAAAGTCCCTTCTGCCTCCTCTTCTCTGTGCCTGAGCACGTTGTGAGAATTTGATGCTTAAAATATGCTGGAGGGGACTGGGAGGGGAAACTATTGGCCAACTAGCAGGCCTTGAGAGTGGAAAGGTGGCTTTACTTCTCAAGTCACTTTCACTTGTTTGTTGAGTCCTAATATGACCAAGTCCATAATTCTCTTGGGGCATCTGATGGGCTCAGTGTGGGCTCCTTGGGGAGTGCTGTGACTTCATCACTTCATGGCTGAAGCTTATTCCTTGAAGGGCTTGACAGTTTTGGTGTTTCTACAATAAAATTTTCTGTGATCTCAAACTGCCGTTTGGTCAGAGATGAGTTATCTCCTTTTAAATTTCTACAGGCCTCTGAAATTATTCGTATTTGGGAAGTGAGGTTTATTATTTTTATTCTTTTTTAATTGCATGAGTAATACATGATCTTAAAAAGCCTTGCAGACATAATCCTACTAGTCCTGAACATGGCCGATCGCTCCAAGATCAGTTACACATTTGTTCAGCAAGCATTTATTTAGCTCCTACTGTGTGCGGGCAGTGGCCTAGGCACTGGGAATGTAATGTTGAATGAACACATTTCTGAATCTTAAGGCACTCACAACCCAGATGATAGATTATAGGTGAGGGGAGTGTCCAATGGGAGGAGGAATCAAAGCATGTGTCCCTGTGGGCCTTCTAGCCTGGGGGCAGAGACGAGGCCTCGCCTGTGGACACCGGCAGAACCTCCATGGTAGGAAAATCAGGACCTGCAGCAGGTGCCGACGTTGGGCAGGGGAAGCGTGGCCCCGAAGCTTGGCCCTCCAAGAGGGCTGGCAAGCAGAACATGACTGGGGAACAGAGTGGAAGTAGATGCGGACAAGAACTCAGGCAGGCAAGTAGCCTGCTGGAGACTCAAGGATAAGAGAGGGTGGAGTGAACGTGTGAGTGAGGGGGACAGCCTCCTGGGAGAAATGACCCCACTGACAAGAAAAGAGACAAGAGACTAACCCATTGGCCCAATGGGGGTCATGGCAGAATGTTTTTAGTCGATGCCCCTGGGGGAAGAACAGACCCAAAATTCAAGAATGTAGCAAGTTTAGCCATCACCTTATCCTACGTGATATTTCTGAGTCTGTGTAAAGGAGTCACCTAAGAGATGTGACCTACTTTCTCACTCCCCGAGGGAACAGAGATGATAATTGGGGATGGGATTCATTCACATATGACTGCAGCCCATACTGATAAGACAGTGTGTTCCCACGCACACGCCTACCCTCTCTCTGAAAAGTTTCTTCTCTTCTCACCTTGGCCACTGGGATCAGGCTGGGAAAGGAAAGGTGGGCAGAGGGGCTGCCCAAAGGCAAGGAGAGAGGGCGCAGACAGAAGCCATGTCACACTTGAAGTAAAAAACCAGGAGCACAGGACAAGGACGGGAAGAGAGAAAACAGTAGTAGGCATAAACATGATTTAGAGTATTCAGCTGACAGTGACAGCACATGAGCCAACAGCGGTTGGTGGCCCCTGGGGAAAGGTACAGGGACCAGGAAGATAGTAGTGTACCGAGCCTGCTTTGGCTCTTCTGTTGTCAGACCACTCTGAGGACATTCCTAAGTAGGAGTCCGTGCGGAGGACAGTGGCCAGGATGGCGGTGGGGGGCAATCAGACACCTGGCCATGGGAAAGCTTTCTGTGTGGGGGAATGTGACAGCTAAATGCATAGGTCTGCATGGTTCCTTGGCAAAGGATGGTCGCCTCCAGCTGATGACCCAGATGGGCAGACGGGAGCCACAGCAGATTTGGCTCAGTATAAGAAGCAGCTTTTGAATGATCCTGAGATGGAAGACACATGAGGAATTGGTGCATTTCAAGCAGAGGTTGGCAACTCTCTGGCAGGAGGTGAAGAGAGGGAGGGAAGGATGTGTGGGAATATGCATAAGGCAGTGATTCATCTGTTTGCTGTCCTAAGAGTTCACAGGATGGATCCTGAGAAGAAAGGAATTTCCTCTCTATTTTATATTTGGAAAAATTAGGGTCAGATGCCAAGGAAGGATCAAGTCATGGAGAGGCTAACGGCCAGAGGGCCAAGGATTGTAAAACAAACCTGAGTTTTCCGACGCCATCAGACCTATTTCAGGGTGTGGATTTGATTATCCCTGGGATCATGCATATGCATATGATATTCTTAGGGACTCCAAGTGGGCTCTGGAAAAAAACACAAGGGCAAGGCCGATCAAAGGTCATCTTGCCCATCCTTCTCCTTCAGGGCAGGAATTGGGATTGTCCCAGAAAACACGGCCCTGCTTTTTCTCTTCAGAACCCTTGACCTTCTCAATCATGGAGAACTGGGTAACAGAAGGAGGGAACCCTGAATCCCAGAATATTGAGGATATTGGAACAGAGATTCCATAGGGCAAAGTCATGCGAAAGGTGGGGCAAGAAGAGAGGAGTTAGCCAAGAAGGATCTTGGATTCCAAGGAGAGGCCTGGATATGATATTCCGGGCCTGAGCAAGGGGGCTGGAGCAAAATGATTCTGGAAGTGGAGAGGCTTCCTGGTATAAACAATACTCTTATTCAAGACAATGAAACCCCAATGAATAAGTGCTTCTCACTTCAGCTCACCCCAGTGACAACAAGGAGCAATTCCATAACCCTCTACCATGTACAAAATGCTGTCACATATACATACATACCAGGGTATGACTCTCACTGGCCCTGGGGGAGGGCTGGGGAGAACACCTGTGGTCCTTCTAGGGATCAGAAAGCATTCCCTCCCTGCTTGTGGTCAGTGCTACTCCCACAGGATTGATACTCACAGGGAGTCACGCACGCCCATCCACCAAGCAACAGAGGGGCGGGCGGGCGGGAGGGAACATGGGAGAGGGCAGGAGGCAACTCCCAGGGAGAGTCTGCCAGCTGCTCCTCCCTCTGGGAGGCTGGGGCCGGGCAGGGCGCTCTGGGAATCTAAATTTAATTCCACCAGCTTCTCATCTACATAGATTTTCATCTAGGAACATGGTGACAGCAGGAGCAACCTTTGGCTCAGTAAAATCCTAACTCTGTCTGACCTCAGACAAACTATGTTTCTGGGCTGGGAAAGTCCTCGATGTGAGGACGTCTGTCGAGAAGGTTGCTTCACCCTCAACTACCGGACCTTTAGCCCAGGATGCCTCTTCCACTTCTGAGCCATATGCTCCAATAGTTCCTCTTCAAGCTCGTAACTCCCATTCTTTGGTTGGACCTGCTACTCTGGGCTTATCAGCTTTCTGATCAGTACAGGAAGCTGTGTGTCTTTTGGGCTGATCAACACTCTGTTGAAGGCTGAGCTGGGAACTCGGGATGTGGGGAGGTGCTTGAGCATGGGAGGATTGGCTCTGAATGTCCCAGTGCCAAGCCTGAAGGTTTCCGGGGCCACATGTCCCGGTGTGCTCAGCCTTGGGAATTGTCCCCACCCTGCAGAGCAGGTATTCTGCAGTAACAGTAATCCCCAGTCTAGTCTAGCCCCTTCAGCTGCATTTGGCACTCCCTCCTGTATGTGATGGGGCCCTAGCTTCCCTGTTCTAGATTTATGGACTGCATCACCCCCACCCTCCCGCAAGGCTTTCACCCACAAGGTGACCTCATCGCAGGAACTTAGGCCAACTTTCCAGGTCCTTCCAGTTTCCAGTGAAAACAGGGGCTTTTTCCAAAGCTTTCCCTGATTGAATATCATCTTCTGGGGCTTTCCACATGCCAGGGTGAGACAGAATCCCTCTGCCCCGCTCTAGGTAGCATCTACTACATTTCAGTTTCCCTTTGAGGTAGAGGCAGTCCCTATTTTATTTTATTTTTTAATGTTTTATTTATTTCTAAGAGAGAGAGACAGTGTGAGCAGGGGAGGGTCAGAGAGAGAGGGAGTCACAGACTGAAACAGGCTCCAGGCTCCGAGCCGGCAGTCAGCAGAGCCCGACGCGGGGCTCGAACCCACGAACCGCGAGATGACCCAAGCGAAAGTCGGACGCCTAAGCCTAACCGACTAAGCCACCCAGGCGCCCCAAGCAGTCCCTATTTTAGACAAAACTCAGGCTCAGAGAGGGTAAGTGACCCTCCCAGAGTCACACAGCCAGAAATCTCCAGTCAAGAGCAGGACTCTGGATGACTCCGTGGCTTAGACAACCTCCACTTCCCCTGTCTTACACACTCATCTTTGGCTTCCTGGCCTCTACTCTGCTCCAGCACTGCTAGCAAGCCACTGGGGCCCTCCCTACTATCAGTTCCGACCAGACTGTCCCAGTGGGGCGCCTCTCCCTC